AAGGTCCTACCACCCAGGTGGTTTGAAGTGCGTACCAAGAGGTCTCAGAGGCGCAGTGGTGCCTGCTCTGATGTTTCTCATAAGCCCCCTGGTGCAATTTGGGCACTATAAAATACAGTGAAAAATAAATAGCAGCCATTTTCTGCATTTCTACAGTTTCTCCATTTCTTACGTAATGATCAAAAGCTCTGTGGGAAGACACACAGTGGAATTATCAGTCTAAAACACTTAGGGCAAAATAGGGACCATATCTTGTACAGCTACAGACTTACATGGATTATAATGCAATTTGTCAAGCACAGTCCTTTCAAAGAGCAGTTCTGCAGCAACTAGATCTCCCTTCCCACTACATGTCAAGAAAACAATTGATGGAAGAGGGCAGCACCTAATCTTCATATGTTCACCATAAACCACTATCAACCATACAAATTTTTTCACAGACAAGAAACTTACTTGCTCTTCACCATTTCTTTTGTGGCTGAAAAAGAATTCTTGCCTTAGTGTAGAATTTGATAGGTTAAAAGGCATTTACTTCCTAAAAGCACAACCTCCTCCTCTTCCATTCAACATCATCACTTCAAAGTGGTTGCGAACATCTGAACACAGCACTTGAATGGTGTCAATGAAAGAGGCCATACCTGTGCGCTATAGCAGGTTTGTGTCCTTCACCTTTGCACCAAGGGACGTCTTCATGAAGATAGGACAAGCCACGGGCCATTGTTTCTGCAACATGGCAGAGCTCATTCCAGCTGATAATATTGCCCTTCAGGTAATCTGTCAGAGAACCCTGTGAAACAGGACATCGTACGTTCTTAATTGCAGACCCTGCTACATGACAGATGTGCCAACTCACCAGTTTAGAAAATGACTTTAATGAGTGCTTGAGAAATTTGTACCTTGATTTAACGGGGGGGAGGGCGGGGGAAATCACTGGTGAAAGTAAAAAAGAAGAAATAAAACCCAGAAGCATTTATCAGTACTCAGACCTTGACAGCACAGAAAGTATCTGGATGTCAAAAAGGAGTCTACTAATCTGCCAGGGAAGGGGAGGGAGGTAGGGAAGGAACAAAATCATCTCAAAACGCAGCAATTCATTTAACATAAGAAAAGGGAGAGCCTTCCATGTGAGAAGATTATGCATCATATCAGCTGGTTGTGGCAATGATTGACTCAGTAGACCTTGGATTAAACAGAGGGATAACACTGCTGGCTCAACCCTGGATTTGTGCATGTTTGTTTTATTTCAAGTGTTAGTCACGTTTGATAGCTAAAGCAATCCATGAAATAGGAGATGTGCCCCGAGCTTCAAAAGCAAACACAGAGCCCATCTGCAAGGGGTCAGTTGGGACTGCAATGGTCTGCGACACCCAACTCCCATGTTAAGAGATGGTGACCACCACATACCTAAGCTTTGGCCTTCTGTGCCTGCCTCTAGCCCCAAGTCCCACCTTTATTAATCCCATGTTTGGGTAGGGAAGCCTTGAAAGCTTAAGGAAGGGCCTTTGAAGGAGGGGAGCTGCAGCCCTTCTCTGCTACCACTGAGCCATGGCTCACCACGGAGAAACTGAACAGATTACAGTAGAGCTTCTGGGAGAGTATTAGACACCAAATCCTGTTGTTTCACTGCCAGCCACCTCTCTTCCCTCCCAAAATATACATGCAATGATACCTTACCTTATCATGGAAAGCTGTGATCAGCCAGAGCTCTGTCTCTAGGTTTGTCCCTCTTTTCTCTGCTGCAATGAACTGCAAAAGGTTTTCATGCTTCATGCCAGGAGTATTGAAAATCTCCCTCTCACTCTGCCAAGATTGCTTATCCTAAAGCAGGGAAAAATGCACCATCAAAGATCACGCTTCCCTTTAAAGCAAACAGCTCCTTCAGCTCAGCCAGAGCTGCTCACAGTCCTCTTAATATCATCCTCCTATGTTTGGATGTGATGTATCCTTTCAAAATGAGGCTGTTTTCTGAAGTGTAGATGCTGGAGAAAGACTGGAAATTGCTGTTCTCAGTCTCCCTTCTCCAAAATTATCCTCAGCTCATACCCTAAAGCACATGTGTGGGGAGGAAGCCAAACACAACCTCACTGAAAAACAGGATTTGTCAAGATTTCCTAAGGATGCTCGCAAGAAAAAAGCTTGTGCATGTAACACCCAGATCTGCATTGTAGCTGTGATTGTTACGATTGCAAAATCTAATCTAGGCTCTATTGAATATTTACTAGTAGGTCACAGCTGGCTTGGACAGAAGATGTGCAAATCTCCTTTAGCAATGCTATGACAAGAAATTTGGGGCAAAAAATTAACAAAGAAGGAGACAGCAGAGGAGCACAAAGATATTTCAGTCATTCTTCCTTCATTTGACTTTTGATTGCTTTACTCTTTCCATCTGCAGTTCCTAGAGAGTCAAGTCAGGAGTGTTCAAAGGTTTCCTAGAGCGGAAGACATGAGCTGACAGAAATGCTGCAGTGCAATTAGCTTTCACAGTACAGGGGCTGTGACTTTGTAAGCACAAAACTGTTTGCTAGGTTTGGGTCTGGATTTACAATCTACCCAGGCAGTACAAACAAAGCTGGGGCTTTGGGCTTTTGTGTGCACTTTGGGCACCACAGCTGCACACTGCCTTGCTGGACTTTAACTACACCGACATTTGCAGTGAAGTTAAAATAGCATGTAGATTTCAAAATGTGTTTGTTTTTGCCCTTCTTGCAACAACTACTACTACAGGAAGCTTTTGGTAATCAGATAACACAGAGAAAAGTGTAGGAAGGAAGGGTCTTTGAACTTTTTCCCCCAGAAGAAGAGTCCAAATGCATCTTTGTTATTGTCTTAAAAACCATAACCTCCAAAGGCACTTAGGGGATCTCAGCACCAGTGAGGAAGCCCGGTAAGTGAGAACCTAATGTGATGCCCTTCTTACCTGAATAGGGAAGATTTTCACTGCTACATAGTCATTCATCAGCTGAGCCTTCCACACGCAGCCAAACCGTCCCCTCGCCTTGATCTCCAAGAGCTGCAGAGGCTTTAGGCCAACCAGGGGAGAAGGGGGTGGAGGGCCAGGGTCCTGCATGAAAGAAGAACACAAATGGAAAGGAGCAATGGGGAGATCGTGGATGGGCAAAGAGGCATACAGAAGTGACATTTTATTTAATATGTATCACCTCCAAGTGTCATTTTGTGTGTCAAACTACCAGCTACCACCCTCTGGCAAAACCTGAATTCTCCTATGCTTTCAAAGCAAAAGCTATTTTGGGCTGTAAAACACTGATGACCTCAAGGCTACCTCCTGCCAAAAGTAAGAACTTTTTGATCTGTGTGACCCAACAGCCAACTACACCTAAAACCTCCCACTGTTTTGCACTTCATTAGGCATTTATCACACAACCCCAACAATGAGCAGTAAACAGGTCTGTCAGCATCATAAATATTTTATCTGCTTAAACTGCATTTGTCCAGGAGAACAACGCAACCCCACAGGACATGTGAGGTTGGAGTTCTGTCCTGTCTGCTTTCAGATGAGAAAAGTTCACAGTATGGGCTACAATGGGCAGAGGAGGGAGGGAGGTAAAGGTAGCTGCTTGGCCCTTCAAAAGAAACCAGAAGGCTCCACGCACAGCAGAGCCAGCAAGGACTAGTTCCCAATGGCTTTGCACCATGAGATGATCCCCTACATGCATTCACTGATGGCTCATAAAAATGGGGCTTCAACAGGGAAAGCATCTTCCCTCACCCCATAAAGCTGGTATGAACTTTATCATCTCCCTTATGTCTTTCTCTGCAAACTTCGCTGAAATCAGGCAATGCGATTGAGAGTTTGGAGGGGAAAGATAGCCAACAAGCAGGGCTGTGTAACTCCATCCCTTAGGATTCTTAGACATGTTGATAACCTCATCTAAATCAATCAGCCCCAATAGAGAACGCTAACACCGCCACAGAGGCCAACTGCACCAACAACTTTAAGAAGAGAGAGAAGAAAAGTTAGGCCACGTGGAGAAAGTGAAGCAAAAGTGGACATGAACATACAGTGAGCAGCCTCCATGCCGTTTGTAAGGTCCAAGCAAAGGGACACGATTCCCTCACCTCATTAATGTCGACGTGCCCGTAGGGAGGCTTGCGGTGACGATACATCCAGAAGGCCAAGAGGATGGCCATGGAGAGGACAGCAATGGGGAGCAGTGAGTACACCAGGATGTTGAGCAGGGAGGGCGTTGGTGGTGGCGGCTCGTATATGACTGTGAGAAAAGAGCAGGGTAAATGTGGGAAAGGACCCTTCAGGCATGCAACAGCACTGTCAACTACACGTCCAGATGCAACCAAACCCCATCCTTCCTTTAGCTCCAAAGTTGACAATGCTTAGTGGCATGTCCCATCACATCCAACAGCATTCATAAGGCTTTGTAGTTTACTCTTTTCCATATGGCTTTTAGTAATGGAATTACAATGGTCCAAACCACACTGTGCAAGCTGAGCTTCCATCTGACCTTTATTTAAGATGGGTATTTCTTGCTGGGATATGTAAAAGCAGAACGTTTCCTCTTCTTAACCCTTCTGAATGTATTAAGTGAGCACAAAATCCCTCGCAGCGTTGCTTTGCCTCTTACAGTGATTGACAAGATGTCAGTTTTTAGTAAAATGCTGCCGCAGCCACAATCAAATGCACTATTCCCACAGTAGTTCTTGTTCCAAATTACATCAGTGCAGTTGAGACACAAACAATGGGAATACTAAATGGAGCCATGTTGCTATGTTGGAGACAGGGAAGGAAAAAATAGCAAGACTTGCCAAATTAAACAAAAAACTGTGAGAGAAAGAGTATTTGCTACTAGGTTGCTACGGGTACATTAATAACAGGAGATAATAAAACATATGTAAACAATTAAAACCTAACAGGAAAGCCCAGGAAAAATCTGATAACGGTCTATCGGAACATCTCAGTAAATGTAGATAGTTGACAGCAAAAGAAACCATTCTAAGGAAAAGACCCACCTGCTTTAATTATTTTATTGAATGATACTTCAGCAAGCATCAGCTAGAAGAATCATTTCTTCTATTAGCCTTTGAAGAAGGACCTGCTATTACTTTTCTTCCTTGAAGTATATCTACAAACTCTGAAAGCTGACATGCACACCTATGCCCTTTCAATCCTCAGACCAGCAAGATAGCAATCAAATGCAAAAATCTCAGATGCTCAAAGTATCTGGAGACCCAAGACCTATGAAAATTAATGACGAAGGTGTCAAATACCTTGTTAAGAGTTTGAGTCTTGATCCATGCTGTATAAATCACTCTACCCTCTTCCCTTAGTGTGTGATTTTGTTTTGTAATACCCCACTGTGAATGTCCACCATAAAGAAAACCCAATCTTTACTGATGGTATCCAAGGTGTTGTTACAACACATGTTATCCATGAAGTGAAATAGCCTTAAAAAACTATTCTTAAAGACCCATAGCAGAAGGATTTCTGGCCTTTGTAACCAAAATGGTACTTTGTGTCCTGATGGATGTATTTTTTTTTTCCCTCAACAAACAACTCCACTCCAACTACCAACAAAGCCATCACAAACTGGGTCCAGAGGAAGAGACCCCGACTGCCCATCCACCTGGTCACTCACCTTCTGGGCCAGTGACTTCAGGCAAATGGGTAAATTTCTCATTGCAATAGTTGCCCTCGCAGCAGCAGAAAAACACTTGAGGGTTTTCTTCTGTGGCTACACACTCCTGCCTGCAACAGGGATGGACAGACACGTCAATGAAGGGAAGAGAGAAAAACAACATCAGCCAACTCCTGCCTCTTGTCTTTGGGAGCCGACCTGTCCCAAGTTGTCTTCTCCATGTGCCTTCTCCTGCTGCTGTGCTGCATAGACCAGCAGTCTCCACTTACAGAAAACAAGCTGGCACTCAAATACCCCAGTGGATAGCAAAGACCCTTGAAAAGACCACAAAGGAAACAAATGCTTCCATATGTACTGAAGGCATTAGATAGTGAGTAATAAATAACAGCCACCACCGCTAACTGAATGAGAAGCAGAAAAATGATGGAGAGATGCCTCATTCCCTGAACAGTGTACTTCTCGCAGCCCATATGTATGCTGTCAGGGCAGAGGCGTATTTGATCATGCAATTAAAGATTGTGCCATAAAGCACATATGACGAGAGCTGAGCTAAGACCGCTCACACAGGCTTCAGCGTCGCTGACTCTACACATTAGAAGGGCATCAGACAGCAGTAGCAACAGTCCTGCTGCAGGTTTTGTTGGGTTTTTTTTAAGGTTTATTTTAAAGTGCCATCTTCTTCAAAAAACTTATTCTGCACGAAAGCCTTTAAGAAAATCAGGTTGCAGCTCTCATTTTTTGTATTTGCCTGTTAGCCTTCTCAGCACTGAGGTTTCCTTGCACACTGTGCAAGGCTTTAGGGGACTTCCATGAATCTGACCAACTCCACTTCCACACATCCTCACTCTCCCATACATCAATGCCAAGAAATGTGCAGTGACTTTAGCAGTGATCTAGCAATCGTTTCTCTTTCTTAAATGCCTGCTTCCCTTCCCTGCCACCTTTTGCTACATTACCCTCTGCTTTTAGTTATTACAGTTGCAGAGCTGCTCTCCGCAGAGAACTGTATCAAACTATTTCCTGAAGCCAAGCTAAATTATATGCATAACTTCCTTCCTTCAACCACTCGGAGGAAGTAGCAAAACAATCATATGTGTTTGACATTATTACTCATTTATGAACCCATGCCAAGCCTCCCTTTCTGTGGTATCACTGACATACTGACACAAGACAAATGGAAAGGACTCTCTTCAATCATAACACAGGGTAGTTTTCAATGCTTTATTCCTTTTGGAATAAAAAAAAAAGTGTCTATAGCTGAAATGTCTCCTGCAAGATCTCAGCTGTGAAGCACTTGGTTTGTTTTTTAGTCTTTTGTTTTTTTAAAACTTCAAAGGGAAAAAAAAGCAGCCATTTGACTTATTCAAACGAACAAAGATGTTTCAACAAGTTAAGCAATGTTTCCAGATGCTTTTTTGTGAAATCAGATAACAAGCCGTTTGGATTTAACAGCATCAGTATTAGAGTCTTCAATAGAAAACACATCCTTTGCTAAATCTGTTGGTTAAGAAATCAAGCTAATGAGTGAAAACAGCCTGCTCCACATCTGCAATTCATTATCCCTGTCTTTGAGTTGGTGTGCACTCAGGGCAGGCATCCAGGTACATATGACATGTTATACTTAGCAAATATTACAAATGAGACAGTGGGAGAGAATGACACATTTTTCTATGGCAGCGAGGGCAGGTTTCATAGTGGTTCATATGCTCTTCAAGGCAACATGAACACGACCTTTCTAGTGGGACTGTGTAAATAAATGAACAACACACAAGCTGATTTTTAAACACTACCTTTTTCTTATAACCTTAAATGTACATGTGCCATGTTCTTCTTTCCTTAACATAAAGAACAGAGTAAGGAGCCATCACCATCAACATCCCAGCCCTTGCACTCCTGAATTTTTCACCTTCCGGCGACAAAGAGGCAGTTCCAGATACCTGAACATGCTGCTTGTGCTCCAAGAGGAGCTGCAGCCTGTCAGAATAAGGACCATGCCCTGCATCCAGGGGATGCTTCTGCACATATGGATACAGGTGCATCTCTTGAGGCAGCACCGAGCTCAGCATCCAAAGGTGCTGAAGACAGAGACAAAAAGGGCATGAACACAGCACCGCTGATCAATATATCATCTTTTTTAGCCATTTTTTGCTGTCTTGGGATGCAATACTACCTGCATGAAAGGCTGCTGAGGGCACTCAAGGGAAGGAAAAAAAAATACTGCACTTAAACAGCCTTTATTTAATTAAAGCTAACCTTTATTTCACATGGTGCTTTCAACACTTCTACTGTTTGTTAATTCTCAGAAGATCTTTTAGCTTTGCCCTGGAACTGTGGCTTTGAAGAATCAGGCTGCAGGATAATGGATGCTCAACCCCAAGGCTGCAAAAAGGCTGGTGAGGAGCCTCGGAAACTTTTTACTGTTGTAACAGAGCAACACATCATGACAAAGTTTAAGAACCACTACATCCCTGCACAGAGACACTCAGTGACAATATAAGTGTCACTGTATATGAGAGCAAGCACTGAAAAGAGAAATCTGTTTACAGTAAACACTTCTGCTTGGAAGTAGGAAACTAGAGTGACCTTCTGTTCTCAGAAGGATCGGCATTAAGATGACTAATGGGCCAAGAAGGATTGATTTATTGGGAAAGAATAAAAATTTAACTATATATAGATCTTGGCTATGCAAATGGCAAGGGAATAGGTGTGGTGGGAAAGTAAGCCTGGTGCTAATAATAGAATGAAGATGAGGAACGACTCACAGTTGGGATAAGCTAAGACAACAGGCACAAAAGCAGAGATAATGTACAGTGCCAAAGGGAGAAAACTCTCCAGCTATGGGACAAATCTAGTCCCACATTAAGCTCCACAGCTTAGGATATGATATCCTAAAATTTTTGGAATACGAAGCTACAAAGATGTGCAGCTGGGAATCGCACAAAGGTGAGATCAGTCGATACTGGTGTTGTATCAAGGGAAATCCTTGAATTTTATGTTCTGTTAACCCTTATTGGAAGGGTTGTGTTTGGGTTGGTTGGTCATTGGGTTTTTTTAACAGAAACACCAAGTCTAGAGCTACTGAACACTGTCCGTTTGAACTGTGAAACTTCAGAGGGCTGTTTTCTTTAGCCATAACTCTCTCTCCCTCTATAGCATTGCATCAAGGGAAATAAGAAAACACTAGTTTATTTTCCTAACTATTTAATGAGGCTGGAGGCTCCATACTACAAAGCCCCACTCTTTTCGGCTTCATACTACAAAGCCTCGCTCTTTTTGGCTTCGTACAGGCAGTGACACAAACACTCATATTACTTCGCTACCTCACTCCTTCTCCTGTCCAGTCTCTTAACTCAGCTGAAGAACAGTGAAACTTCTTGCAACATCACAAACGCCAGAATATCTCAACCTCTAACCACCCCAAGATACCTGTGCTTTTCTAGAGAGCTCCAAATAATTCCAAGTTTTCCTTTGTATTGCCAAATGTTCTTGGAAGAATGCACTGCTCTTCATTTGACGGTACAGGACAGGTTTTTCAACAAATGCCAGAATTATCAAAGCTTTGCTAAGAAAAAACAAAGAAAACCCTAAAACATCCCACACACCACAAAAAAAACCAACCCAACCAAATACAAAAACAAACATGAAACTGCCTTTTGTAGCTTCTATTTAGAAAGTTAAGGCAGGTAAGTGACAATTCAGAGAGCTACGTTAGCAACAGAAGTAATTACAGGGCCAACTGACCTGGACGTGCTTTCTTTCCGCCAATACAAAAATCATGAGCCTTTGCACTTAAAGGAACAATTAAACCTGTATGCAGAAAACACAGCTAGGCTATTACCTGTCATAACAGTTGAAGTCATCTAACCAGCAGCCTTTCTTCACCAGCTCGATGGAGCCCGAGTTGTTTCTCCAAGAAGCATAGCAGTGGAGCCGCTTGTCCTTCTCCCCCTCGCAGCGCTCCACACCACTCTGGTTGGTCTTCTCCAACTCCCAGTTGGCATTGTAGTAAATGCACTCCCTTGTCTCAGCCTCCCCATGGCCTGGTCCTGAAGCAAAATTCAAACCCCAAATAAGTTCAAGCAAAATCAGAAACAGATCCCAAGAGACCTATATCCACGTCACTATGTTTTAGATGACTCACACATTTGCCTCCCTGGGAGCTAAGCAGCTCATCGATGTGAGCTTCAGCATGGTGTAGAGGGTTATTGTCCTTTGCTGGCGTGAGGCGGGGAACAGAGAGGTTCGATTTGCCTAGGCTCACTAGAAGAGCTCACGGTGGAGTCAAGAGCCCAGCTGAAACATCCCCCTCTAAGGTCTCCTCTGGTTAGTGCTTCAGCCACATAACCCTAACAGTGGGATGTACAAGGCAACCCCTACTCTGTATTTTCTATCCACAGAAACCCTGTTTAGGAAAGACAACCTCCCAGGGTGCTACTTAGCGCTTGCTGGGATGTCACGCAGTTGAGTTCCCCTCCTTTTCCACTCCTATTTTGGGAAACATCATCCAAAAATAAATGGTTTCTTACATGGGCAGGATGTAACTGACAATAGATAATACTCATCCTGCAGAGGAGAGCCAGACCACTGCTTACTTGGATCCCAGTTCAGGCTTATCTGGATGAGTCTCCATATGATAAATACCATGGTTTTAGCTGTGGCTGACCAAGCTCATGCTGCCTCTCCACCCAAGCACGACCTTCAGCAAAAAGCAACTCTGTTCCCCAAAGAACTCTAGCCACCCCAAGCAAAGAAGCCTCCACAGCCTGTGAGTCTTTACTCCCTTAGAGCCTTGTACCAAAGGACCAAGGAGTTCCTACTGCCCAAAGAGAAAAATTCCCTCACAGCCACCATGGCACAGATCTGAAACACAATTACAGACACATCCATTAAAAATGGAGTCAAGTATGGGAACACTGATAGATGCAGGTGACCTGCTTTGTCCTAAGCCTCTCTTCATTTGGAAATATTCTGCTTTGTGGCATTTTGAGGATTAGTTTAAAATGAGAAGAAGAATGAAACAAACACACAACATGTAAGCAGACAAACAGAAAAGGTACCATGAAGCTCATGATATCATAAATCCTGAGATGCCCTGCAGCCATCTCTCTTTGGGATTACCCAACCTAAGACAAGGTCAGTCCTGGCCATTATTGTGATGGACTGCAATCATGGAAAACATAGGTATCCCAATAAAATGTGTTGACAACCGGGTAGAAAACACAAAAGGGTCCCACAGGATGGCGAAATGAAACTGCTGTGCTCCTAGAACAGCCAAACCTTTGCAAAGTGCAGAACTAAGTTTCTGGCTAGAAAATTTTGCAGTGCTTTCATGACTCCATCATCCCCAAAGGGCGTGCAACCTTTAATGTTGAGATTAAGGCAGCCAGGGCCATGTCTGGACAATCTAAATGCAACAGCCAGCAAAGAAAACACTGAGCCTGGGCCCAGGCATCAGTTCCAGGCCCCAGATACCTTCTGTAGCTTCATCGTTTCCACTCCTGAACACCCATTCCGCTACTAAAGTGGGTACTGACAGTAGTACCCACATGCAACACGCAGCTAGAGAAGGGAGTATTACTTCCAACTGAAGATCCAACATGCCAAGTTCAAATGACTAGTCCCAAGGAAGTAGGATGCTAGGGGGAACCTGACCTGCCTTTCCACAGCCTGTAACTCCTCAAGTTACAAAGTCTCCAAGCTGTTACTCCGTGGTAGGATTCACCTCCAATTTTACAGTGCATGGAAAGCCCTTTAGAGATAGCACCCGAGCTAGAGATTGCGTTCAAGCTATTCAATGTGACCTGATCTGCTGTAGAGAATCAACCTCCTGCTGCCAACAGCCGTCAAGCAAGGAGTGCAGATGACCTGGCATGCAGCGGAAGTGAAACTGTAAAAAGGCTGGAGAAAAATCACAGCTTCTGCCAACGCTAGGGGTGATGTGTCCAACCTGATCCTGATACCAACACCTGGACTTCGCATTAGGTAATTTTCATGCAATGGAACAAACTCATCAGGCTAGGAAGATGCCTTTGCAAGTTGAAGAGGGCTTCAATCCTTCAATAACTCTTTTTTGAGAGGAACATCTAATCTGCATTGTGGGAGAGAGAGGGGTATGAGAAAGTCATAAAGCTGACTTCTGAAACTGGAAATTACGTTCGAAGAACACAAGAATGAGAGCTCGATTTCAACAGCACCTGCAGGTTTTATCAGCACTTGCAAAGCTCCGAGTTCTCCTCTGACAAGTTGCTTACTGTAATAAAAACAACCTATCACTATCCCTCAACACAGAACAGTGTCAATATTGACACTCCTTGTTAAAACCTTGATATTTGTTCTCTTGATACTCACACCACGCTTTGCTAGGGCAGATTAAGCATTTTTGCAAAATATTGGTTAAATTAACAGGAAAGCAAAGGAGCATTGTCTTGTGTGTGGGGAAGGAAGTATCTTTTTCTTTATAAAGGAATGAGTAAATATCTTTGCTTCATTGTAATACTTCACATAGCTTCCAGCTGATACTTGAAAACTAACACTATCAACTTCTGGTCCGGTCCTTGGAATACATTTTGTAATATCACTTCCATCACCCCAAACCACATCTTGGTTTTGCTCTAGATGGAAATTTCCTCTCGCTCACCAACCCCATTCCCCAGAAAGCAGGAAGGTTTAATGAACCATTTGCCTGGGAAGCAGGCCCAAAATCCAATCCTGGCTCAGCCACCTCTGTGTGTAACTGTGAGCAATATTGTATAGCCTCTGCTTTCTCCACCTGCAACAATGGCCAATGCAATGTACAAAGCTGCGGTGAGGTTTGATGTTTCCGCTATGGTTTGAAAAGGTAATGTTAAAAAGATGTGAAGCAGGAGCTGTATCGGCTCTGGGACCACCAAACGGAGGCTGCTGAAGCCTGTGCTGAGCCCAGGCTCTCCTCCCCCAAGACAGTTGTCTTTTCTGGAACAAGTTTCAGCTGAAGACTAAGATCTGCTTGCAAACACACAAACCCAACTCTGCAAACAGAGACCGCGCCAGGAAAAAGGCCTTTCGCAGCTTTTCCCCTGCCCTCAAAGTTTAGATGAGTTGAATAAAAGCACATATAAAGTTTTGGATAACTAAATGTATGTGTACTTCCCTTAAAACAGCTCCTAAGGATGCTTGCATTAAGGAGACACTTTAAAAACCTGCATGCTTGCTACCTGCCTTTCAGATCCTTTTAAAAAGCCATTTGGTAAGGATCCTCATCCCGCTGGGTGCTCAGGACTGCAAGAAACCCTTCTGTTTGTGCCCA